ATACCGGCCATGTAAAATGACCATTTTATCCAAATTTGTATAAAATAGGGTTTGTTTAGCAGAAGAATAATATAAACCTCAAATTGTATAAAATTGGGATAATCTAAACCTGAATATAATTAAATCTAAAACCAAGCATGCCCTTTCATATTTTAAAATATAAATAAATTTGTCATTTATATATATGTGTGCGCGCGCGCGCGCCAGCCTCCGCCTCCGTGGCCGTCCTCGTTCTCAACTCTGAACTTTCCCCCCCACCCTCTCTCTGCAATTGCAAACTATAAGAATCAAAAGTTCAAAACCCATATATTTTAATTTATCTATCTGCTGCAAGAATCAAAAGTTCAAAACCTATATCGACATCCACAATCACCCTTTGTAAACAACGCCATTAGCAGACCCAAGATCCAATTGAAAAAAAAAAAAAAAACAGTGTAGTTGCAGGTTCTGTTTAGGAGAGCATAATGAAAATTGATGAAGTCGAAGGAGGTATCTAAGTCTTCAACCCAAAATCTGAATCTTGTGAGGAGGTTGTATCGGTATCAATAAGATCGGACCTAATGGCGGTGAACGTATCAACAACAAGATCGACGGCGAAAGATACCGGTCATCTCTAAAACCTCTACACGCCCATGCAAGAATGAAATCGTGGCCAAGCTTGATATATATATATATATATATATATATATATATATATATATAGACCACCGTCGCCATCATTTAGGTGCTCCATCGACGGCAAAACCACCATTAAAGTCGGCAAAAACAAACAGAAAGCTCCAAATTACAACAAACAGTTCAAGCAAATGAGACCCACTTCGGTGATCATTCAGCGAGCTACACTTCCATGCATGTGTATTTAGTGAGCTTCAAAGCAGTAATTGAACGCCGATAAACTCCATAACCAACGACGAGCTCCACGACTCACATGCTTTGATGAAGATAACAAATCACTGAGCTTTGGTGTACTTTCTGGTCCCATGACCTGCATGCAAAAAGCCAGTGACACACGGCGTGTTTCAGTCATTGCTCCTGTGAGTTGTACACCGGTATGCTTCATGTCCCTAGACGGCAATAAGGAACAAGCTCATGAGACCCACTTGGATTACAAACCGCAAAGCTCAAAACTGATTTTGGCGAGTGAGCCATGACGTTGGCAACGACTGAATTAAGAGCAACCCAATTTCAGTTCGGCAATGTCCCAAAAGAACTCAACCCACTTCGGCAACATCGCTGAACCAACGGGAAAACACAAATACTCCAACAAGCTTTCAAGCAACTGTGTTGGTTACGGTGACTGTGCTTAAGTCGCAAGCATCGGCAGTAATGGTGACTGTGCTACAATCAGAGACTTCAATGGAAACAAATTGCAGTTCAAATTCATCATTAGTTCGAGCTTATAGATTTTGATTTTTATTGAATTTAAAGAAATGTTAGCTTGGGTTGAAAATTTCGTGTGGAGACATTTTGTCGATTTTCAGATCGACGATGTGCAGCCATGGATGACACGGGTTCTTATCATAGCCGCCGTCCTCCGTTGCGAGCTTCGCCTAACTAAACTGAACTTCACCGGACTTGGAATCGCCATCCGACTTGGGTGAAACAATCTTTAACAAGTTACATCATGTGTCTGTGTGTAGAGAGAGAGAGAGAGAGAGGGTCTTTTATGCACAAATGCTGAGGGACTTTTTATGCACAAATGGTGAGGGGCAAAATGGGAAACAAAAGGGTAAAATGGGGTTTTAAGTTTTACTTTTTGTAAAAAGTTGTCAGAGGGACCGGTTATGCACCTTTTTTGAAATTTGTGGACTCGTATGCACTTTTTCAAAAAGTAGGGAGTTGTTCTGCACAAAGTCTATATATGAGGGGGGTTTTTTGCACTTAACCCAATAAAAAATTTGATGAACAGGGAAAACATTTGAGACCATAGACCCAATAACAGGGGAAGTTATAGCAAGAATTGCAGGAGGAGATAAGGAAGATGTTGATTTGGCTGTCAAGGCCGCCCGTGATGCTTTTGGCCTCGCTTATCTGGCTATGTAAGTTTTTTTGTTTTTTGTTCTTTTATTTTTATTTTTTGTTTTTTGTTTTTATTTTTTGTTTTTCTGTAATCTATAAATACACTGCTATAAATACACGCAGAGATGGCCAACCTACTCATATTATTAATTTTTGTGAAGGAATTTTTATGGTACTGAAAAATAGATTTGTAAAGTAGGATTTTTATGACCATGAAAAAAAAAAAATTATACCAAAAAATCATGTTAAGTAGTATGTATTTCTAATTTATAATATTCAAAATCATACCAAAAAATCATGTTGCATGTCAATGAACATTAGATCAAATTAGATTGATATATCTTCATCCATCTTAATTTTTATCTTATTAGATACTCCTTCAGGTTAAATAAAACAGGAGTACATGTTTTCTATATTTTCATCTAGAATTTTTTTTTTTTCTCTCTAAAAATAGATGGCATTACCGATGATATATATATGTATTGAAGCGATTCGAGTCCACAGAGTTGACAAACATCATTCTAAATGATTAATTCTGTATACAAATTTTGTTTATATAGCATTATTAAAGGTTCTTTTTTCCCTGCACCCATTGATTCAATGTTCAGGAAAGGGGAAGGATAATGATGAAATTTGCGGACTTAATTGACGAAAATGTGCAAGAATTGGCCATCTTGGATACCATTGACGCCGGGAAGTTGTTCGATTCGGGCAAGACAGTGGACATTCCTAGCGCAGCGGGTACCCTGCGTTACTATGCAGGCGCAGCAGATAAAATTCATGGAGAGACATTGAAAATGTCAAGAGAGCTTCAAGCATACACACTGCTCGAACCCATCGGTGTTGTAGGACATATCATCCCTTGGAACTTCCCAAGCTTAATGTTCTTCATGAAGGTTAGCCCGGCCTTAGCTGCCGGGTGCACCATGGTTGTGAAGCCTGCGGAACAGACCCCTCTTTCGGCTCTCTACTACGCCCATTTAGCTAAGCTTGTTAGTTTCCACTTTGCTTTAAGTATACCAGCTGGTTCTCTATATAATTATAACACACATGGCAAATTATGCCCATACATACGATCATCTGATAGTTCTTTTTTCTTAATCTATGTTTGAATCAGGCTGGTATCCCTGATGGAGTGATCAATGTGATAACAGGATTTGGACATGCTGCTGGTGCTGCTATTAGCTCTCATATGGACATTGATAAAGTGTTCTCAAATTCCCTTTCTACCAATTTTCTTCCTCTATTGGCCTATATTATTACCCTGCAAAACGATGCCATATTTATAATTTACCAATTTATTCTTTGTTTAGGTTAGTTTTACAGGATCAACAGAAGTAGGACGTCTAGTAATGCAGGCTGCAGCGACGAGCAATTTGAAATCTGTTTCACTTGAATTGGGTGGCAAGTCCCCGCTGATGTTGATAAGGCTGTCGATCTTGCTCTCTTGGGCATTCTATATAACAAGGCCTGTACATATAGTGTATTTATTTTTATTTTCCATTAATTATGTATCAAATTTAACTTCTTTTTTTAGCTCAGAAACATAATTGTAAGTCTTTTACATTTTCTTCTTCTTTTCACCAGGGGGAAATTTGTGTGGCAAGTTCTCGTGTTTTCGTTCAGGAAGGGATTTATGATAAATTTGTGAATAAGTTGGCAGACAAGGCAAAAACATGGGTAGTTGGGGATCCATTTGATCCGAGTGTCCGTCAAGGACCCCAGGTAAAAAGTTGTACGTCTATAAATATGATGAATGGCTTTGTTGATTGTATATTTAGTTTTTAATCTTTTTTAACAAATCAATGAACTGCCAAAAATGAAAAAAATGAAGTAATGAAACAATACTAGTGTGTTCCCAAGTAGGGTAATAAACATAAGTCGGTCTATACCATGTCATGTCATGTATAAGAATCAACCATTGTTCCAAATACAAGAGAGTTTGTTTTCCAAGAAAGAGCTTCCATATACAACAGATGTATGTGATGAAATGTGCACTTTAATTGTTGTAGGTTGATAAGAAACAGTTTGATAAAATAGTTTCATACATTGAGCATGGAAAGAGAGAAGGCGCCACCTTATTAACAGGTGGTAAGCCTTGTGGGAAGAAGGGATACTTCATTGAGCCAACAGTTTTCGTCGATGTTACGGTAAATCTCTTGCAACTATGCTTCGGGATGTAATGCGAGGATTTAATTTATATGCAGTTGCAGTTTCTGCGTAAGTCTAATTCATTCTGATTTTCATTGTTGTTTCTGATTTCCTCAGGACAATATGGTTATAGCAAAGGATGAAATTTTTGGGCCCGTAATGTCACTCATGAAGTTCAAGTAAGCTAGCTTATCAAAAACCCCTGGTCTTCTTAATAATGTTCAGTCTGTGTGTTTGGAAACAAATCAAGGTTTGAAAATTCAAGTAAGAATTGGTAGTGATTTGTTCAAAATTGTACAGGACGATTAATGAGGCAATCGAGAGAGCTAACGGCACGAGATATGGGCTAGCGGCAGGCATTGTGACCAATGATTTGAACGTGGCCAACACAGTCTCAAGATCAATCCGTGCTGGTGTTATTTGGACAGAGATTGTCCTTTTGGAGGCTATAAGATGAGTGGATTTGGGAAAGACAGCGGAATGGATGCCCTTCACAAGTATCTCCAAACCAAGTCTGTAGTCACCCCGATTTATAATTCTCCCTGGCTTTGAATCTGTATACATGTTTTCTCAATCAATAAATAAATTACAGATTATAATTTTAAGAAACCTAGCATATTGTTGTTGTCCCAGAAATGTTCAGGAATTAATTGCACAGTTAAGACACTCATTTGATCGAATCACAATTTTGAATTGAAGTCCACCAGTTAAAAGATTGATTAATTTTGTCCATCGCTCGCACACCACACTCCAGAGCCTAAGATGGATTTGAAGATCCCGGAATTAGTTTTGCCCAGGTGATCAAATATTATTTTTGAGGAAATTCAATATGAACATGATTAATACTAGCAAATAACAACAATAATTGGATAAACAATATCCCCACATTTGTACAAAGGTAACAATTCAAATTAGGAACCTTTACCATCCAACCCCACTAAAGAAAAAACAACACACAAACACAGCTCATACAAACACAGAGACTGTACCTAGCCTTCAAATACAACCAATTAATACTGATTACTGACTATATATATGAATGATATCACTTGTGGATTTTTCCTCTAAGCTTGACTCCGAGTACCCTCTCCATCTTGGCCAACACGGCTTGGTTAGGCACGGCCTTGCCGTTCTCGTACTCCTGAACCACCTGAGGCCTCTCGTTCATCTGTTTGGCAAGCTCGGCTTGGCTCATCTTCTTCTCAATCCTAGCCTTCTGTATCGCCTGTCTCACCTCCACAGACACTTTCTCCAGAGCCGCCGGTTCCCCAGCTTCGTCTAGCTTCCTCGCGTTCACGGCTATCGCTGCCGCTGCCGCTGCCGCTTTTTTGTTGGAGCCGGCGTCGAATTTCTTCACGGTTTCTACCTGAGCACCTGACCGGAGGGCTTGGTTGACGGCCTTGGGGTCCCGGAGGTCTTGTGCTTTGGGCTTGGACTTGTGCAGTACCACGGGCTCCCAATCTTGGGTTATGCTTCCTGAAAATCTGTTCGGCATCGTCCGTCTGATATGTAAGAGTTTAAGATATATATAGAGAGAGAGAAATTGATTTAGAAAGAGAAAATGTGGAGGAGATAAATTTGAGGAATTGCAGAGACCATTGGAAATGAAATAAAGCGGATTGATTATATAGGGGTCGTAGGTCTGGAAATTTCATATGAGTGTGATGAAAATATGTATATCTGGAAGGTTCGAGGGAGTTCTTTATGGTGGGGTTGGTTTGGTCTAATCTAAATGCTGCTGAAAGAATGACTTGGCTTCCAAGATAAAGGTTATCTTGACTTTCTCTTCCCCATGGGGAAATTTTATTGAAGATCCAAACGTAACATTAAAACGAACTTCTAATATATATATATATAGACACGCGCGCGCACGCACGCACACACATACATACATACATACATACATACATAAATAGAGCCAATGAAGATCTAGAAGGCCAAGTGCCCTGACTTGGTCAACAACCTATAATATATGTTTATTTATTTGTATTTCCTTTTATAAGAAATGAAACTATACAAGAGGATTCAAGTATTTGATAATAAGGCCTTTTCTTTATTTAATCTTTAATGATTTTTAAAAAAAAATTTCCCTTTCGCATTGGCATTTCTTATTGTAAAACAAACTTCTAATACTACCTCCGAGTAGTTATTTTATTTGTATTAACCTTTTACTTTAAAGTAATCAATATTATTTTAATAAAAAAATAAAAGTTGAGGTATTTTGAAATACCTCTTTGATGATTCAGGAAGGTGGCGTGTGTTTGTGCGTGTACATACCACAATTCGATCCCTCAACCTCTTCTGGTTAGGATGAATTTAAACATTGGTGCCAACAGGCTAAGGAACGAAGTGGTGTCATCAATGTGCTTTCTATTATACTTAAAGGTGTAGAGTGGATCATCCAAATTTCTTCGGATGTTGTTAATCAGTAGATTTTCATACCATTTTGCTGCTAAAAACAGAGGCTTTTGCAAATCCTCATGCCCATATGCCAAACAGGTGCTTCTTATTCATGCATCTCAAAACTATTTTGTGTCACCATTAAATTTGCAAATCCACATGCCATATGTGCTTATTAAAACTGTCTCACCAGTTGAAACTTGCAATTTCCAATGGAGCCATTGGTTGGAACAACGATATAAACCTCAAACTTGCAATATGTGAATCATGAAAATGAAAATGCAGATACGAGAGAGCAAAACCCTTTACGTAAAATAACAACAAATGTTGAGTTCAACTCCGACTCCAACCCCGCCTTGCGTCTGAATCAAAACTAACATGGCAAAAAATTGGATTAGTGATAAACCATTTTTTATTAAGCTGGCAAGAAAGATGACAATAAATCGGAATCCATGGTATTATTGTCATTTGAACCCCAATCATGCATTTACTTCAATTGTAGTGCAAGCAAAATAAAACTTCTAAAATTAGCCAAAAATGCAGAAAAATAGCAAACCGTGAATTCTCCACCAAATAACAAACTGCTCACTTGGTGATTATAGAGTACTTATTTAAGAAAAAAAAGAGTAATTAGTACAAAAATCCAAAGCTAGAATATCACATAGAAGCCGGAACATTTTCAAGGATTTGCATTCATATCTACTCAAGCTCCCTCCTAATTCAGAGCAAAGAGCCCCCTTTTCCACAGGAATTACAGAAAGTTCAGTTGTCATCTTCCTTCTTAATACTCCAACTGCTAAGAAGCAAGCAAACTTTATAAACTTTTGTGGATATTATCACAGGTGGTAATTTTATAATATGATCGAGTAAAGACAGGATGAAATATTAAAAAGTTCCTTTTTCTCAGGCTACATATATTATGTACTGAATCATCTAAAAAAAAAAAAAAAAAACCTACAAATTCTTGCTTCTATACTTGATAAAATAAAGAAAATGCTTCAGAAATTGCAATTACACATGATCTTAAGCACCAGAAAAAGGAAGTACGCCATGCAATTTTAAGGCCCAGACAGTGAAGAAAATGCTTCAAACACCACAGGTACAACCAGATACACTGGTACATCACAACATTTCTGATTTGCACAAAGTTGGCCATGCATCTGAATGCTCTTAAAACGCAAAAGAGAACGCGAACAATTAATCAACACAATTTACTTTAATCCCCAAGAAACGCATAGCTAACCAACAAGATGTTTACTTAACACAGAAAAGGAGAGGAGATATAAGGAAGAATGTTTTTTTTTTTTTTTTTTCCCCCCAGTTCAACTATTAAAATGGTGAAGCAACCAAGTATTTATGAACATTATTATAGATCTCCAAAATTGACCTCCAATGTTGCCTTCAACTTATCATACCCAACCACTAATTCAGTTAAAGTAGTTGTAGTTCAGAGAGAGAGAGAGAGAGAGAGAGAGAGGCAAAACCCAAACAATAGTTAATTGGTGTCTATAATAAGTGCTTGATCGCTTCTCTAAGAAAGGCAGCGCTTTTAAAAGTGCACGGAACCACATCTAGATGACTCGTATCAACAAAAACTTTCTAGGCTAAGAACCAAAGCGATAAGATAATCTCAAAAACATATAAGGTATACCTCAGCAAGCAATTTAACATTTTAAAAAATATATGAATCAATCCAAAGACACCTTATGGAGTTATATTGACACACATCTTAATTGAGAAACATTCAGTACTAGATCCCCCTTGTCTGTTTTCAGCAGTGATTTTTTAACCAATTATATTTATAAGACTTGATAAATGAAAATAACTACGCCTTTTTTTTTTTCATTTAAAAAAAGAAATCAATGCATCAAAGTTGTCTATGATTCAGATGTATAAACAACTGGCTTTCAATGACAATTTTCAGTAAGTATCAATATCAGAAATTAATTGAGTAGTTTAGTAATTATTATTTTGTTCTCATTGACTTTCGTACTGAGCACAGATTCAGTAAACAATACTAAAAAACAGAAACTTCCATTCCGTACACACTGTCCAAAAGAGCAAATAAATGATTGCAGAAGTACATGCACTTTCCTATTTATTGGGCTTAGATACCCCTTGTTGCATTCTTCCAATCTGATATCACTTCAACATGCAAGGAGCTCCTACTATAGTTCATTTCCGTTGAGACATGTATGCATATGGAACGTATTCTAATTTGGTCAAAGCACATCACAGTTTAAGGCTTTCATAATAGGTGGCTGATTCAAACATCTTCGCCAGTAATTAAACACAAACACCCATTTCTATTTCCATGTACAAGTAGCTTGTTAGTCAAAGGAACAGTCCCAAAACATTAGACTCGACCAAAATCTTGGAGGCTCAACAACCAGAAGAACTGTGAGCCCAAAGGCCAGCAGCCCTAGCAAATAATTTTACAGCCTACAGACAGTCATAGACTAAAATAAACACACAGCAGGATGCCCTTGGGCCTCGACAAATAATGACTTTATGATAAAAACTAATCACTAATTACAAAATCTATCGCATACTATATTGACCCTAATCTAATAAAACCTTTTGTTTTTTCCCCTAGTTGGTACTTACACACCAATCTAATAAAACTTGTGAATAGGTCATCTCAATCAAGTTTCTATTTTGATAGTTCCATTCTACAATTATACCCCCATACATCCTCTTCTAATATTGGTGGAGAATACGACTGGCCATCAATAAAGGAGAGGGGAGATACCTCTTTTTTCCGTCAAAAAATGACCAATAATACACCTCTATTCTAAGAGAACCACAAGTACACACAAGTGGTGCATTTAAGGAAATAAACAATTCAAAGGTGCGAACAGCTCAGTTGAGTTTGTTACACCAACAAAAGGGGTCTCCCATGATCCAAAAAGAAGAATTTCCAAATTTGGCAAGGTTTTTAGCATCATTCTGGTACTTTCCGCTTTCGCAAGGTTTGCCAACAAACTTTATGAATATGCATATTTATGTAATTCTGAAGGGGCTGGTCACTTTAAATGGAGAAAGAGAAACTAAAAGGCTAAGATTCTAACTTACATTATGACGAGGGTAGAGTTGGTTGGCTTATTCTTATGCTCACCTCCCAGAAAAAGCACAGCCTACTCTCTAAGAGCTTTCAAGTCATGCCTTCTTAGAAGTAATTCCTACTATGAAAAAGAGAATCCAAAACCAAATGTAATTATTTTCAATGTTTCTAGTGTCTCCTACCTTTACTGCTAATGACGGCTCTCCATATAGCTCCTGATAAGTGCAACCTACATGAATCTGTGGGTGCATTAGATGGGTAATCTGTTGGCTGGAACCATGGTTTGCCAAACCGGACGGTTCACAGCAGTATTTGGGCTAATTCATACCAAAAATCGGCGAGTCCCCAAATTCACACTCAAACCGGCCGGTTCTTTGGAGAACTGGCCAATTCAGAGAAGACTCGGACGAGTCACCACTATACCGGCTGGTTCAGTCACAAATCTGGCCCACACAGTTAAGCAATTTTTTAAAAAACAAAATGGTTGTATTGGAGCAGAGTCGAACCTTGGCAGCATTTTTAAAACCAAATATCTCTTACCGTTTCTCCTGCGCTCGTTATTGTTTATATTACTCAAATAATAATATTTAACCTTTTCTTCCAGAAGCTTGAAAGATATAAACAAAATGCCAAGGTCAGCGAAGTATCGAACCTAGGCACAAGTTTGAAAGCAAACCCATCCTATCCACTGGGATAGGACACCGTTTTTATTTGAAAGGCTCAATACTTGCATTAATTATTTTAGAATGTTAGAACATGGAACGTGTGGTGTCACACATGCTAGGATATGTTATATAATATATGTGCTGCACTTTTTCACTTGTATTATATTTTTTCTATGTTCTTTTTGTTTGTTTTTTTTTTCTCCTTTTCACATGTTATGTATGGTACGAATTTGCATTTATTTCATGATTAAATCTATTATTATTCATTAATTTCAACAAAAGAATATTTGCTGAGTATTTTTTATAGTGACGGGGACTTAAAATTCATGAGTAGGTCATTACTTCCATTAAATGGTTCTCAAAAATTAAATAAAAAACACTAAAAATTCATCTTAACTGAATTATCTAGTAAAAAACTGCATATCGGTACATTTTGAAACATACGTGTGAGGTCGAAAAAAATTCACAAGTGCGATAACTAAAATGATAAGGTATTAGCCTTTTTGGACTTTTCTGACTTCATGAAAGTATTCCCTCTCTAAGATCTACTATAATAGCGAGGCAAATTTGGATGATATTTTAAAGCTAAAATGTCATGCAAAGCATTTGATTCCTCGTGATATGAGATACAAGCCTCAAATGATAAGGCACCCGTTTTTTTGGAATTGTAAGTGGAAAAATTATAACTATCAGTTATTAAGAACCATAAAGAGTTATCAATAATTTCTTTAAAATATTTGAGAAGCACATTAGCATATCTAAATTATATAAAATAGCAAACAGACTATCACTAATTGATTACAAGACATGGTAATTATAGATACCAAAAAAGGCAGAGCATGGCTTAGCAAAAACAAATTGAAGTATAATGAAAGAAACATGTGATCAAAAGGAAATTTAGATAAAAACATCTAATGGAGAACATTGTTCTTCAGTTCAAAAGTTAAACATAAAAAAATAAAATAAAAAGAATTAACGATCATGAGGTACCAGCCTCAAATGATAAGGTACCCACTTTTTTGGAATTGTAAGTGGAAAATTTATAACTATCAGTTAATAAGAACCATAAAGAGCTATCAATAATTTCTTTAAAATATTTGAGAAGCACATTAGCATATCTAAATTATAAAAAATAGCAAACAGACTATCACTAATTGATTACATGACATGGTAATTATAGATACCAAAAAAGGCAGAGCATGGCTTAGCAAAAACAAATTGAAGTATAATGAAAGAAACATGTGATCAAAAGGAAATTTCGATAAAAACAGATAATGGAGAACATTGTTCTTCAGTTCAAAAGTTAAACATAAAAAAACATAAAGAATTAACGATCATGAGGTGTCTGCCTCATAAACCAGCACATAAAAAAAGCAGCAAAGCCACCCCTTCAACCATGCGTAGATTTCAGAGGTGTATGCCTTGCAAAACAATACATCTTTTTCTGACTTGAGATTCTCTCAAACCGCCTGAGATTTTCAGCAAAGCCGCCTGACGTTGAGTGCCAAAATCCAATATGTTTGACATGGCCATTGAAATTATTTAGATTTGTCAATGTCGGATAATACAGTTCTCCACAAGGTGACTTTCCTAATAATAAAATACTAGATTACATGGTGGTATCCACACATGCCTATTTGAGATGGTTAGGAAGAATGCAGCAAGATGGACATTCTACCTATACATAAAAGCATCCATTAGCACGTACCATGCTTATTCAAAGCCATCCATCTTTATTTAAGATGTTCGATATTATCAATGCAAATATTTTATGAAAGAATGCTTCACAAAATAAGAGCACCACCCACTAAACAGCCCTCCTTGAGAAATTAAAAATTGTGTAAAAGCTAATCATTATTTCTCCTAGTCTACACAACAGATTAGGATACAAGGACACACATATAGAACTAAAGAACAACAATAAACTCATTAATGTGCCACTTATGTTAAACAAAGACAAATAAGGAACAGAAAACTACTTACATCATCCACTGAGGTTCTCAGTAGAACTATCAGTTTCTTGATCATCTTCTTGCTGTATTTTTGCAATCTCCGCTTGTGCCCTCTCAAGAATCTGCTTCTTCTGCACCTCCAAATCTCTCTGAAAATCCATCCTCATCTTCTCCAACTCCATCATCTGCTGCCTTTTACTGTTCTCAATCTTCTCATAAATCTCCCCAAACTTCTGAATCGAATCTGCCAACAACCTGAAAGACGATCCATTATTTTCCTCTCCTCCAAACCCTTTCCTCTTAGGCGGAAGCCCATCGGAATCATCGTCCCCGGAAGACTCTGACTCTCCTGGACTATCCCTCATCTCATCCAAACCATTGGACCGATTCAAATACACTCTAGGGTTCATAAACACATACTCCCCTGAATCAACACCGCAAGCCAGCCCACATTGTTGCCTCGGCGAATTCAACAACATATCCATTTTCTTAAAGAACGCCCATTTACTAGCATTCCCTCCCATTTCCTCCATTTTCGCCTTCTCTTTCCTATACTTCTTCTTTAACGTATCCAATCGGTTCCGACATTGCGCTTCTGTTCTCTCCACCTTTGACGCCTCCGATACCTTTTCGGCCACCTCAAACCAATCTTCAGACCTCAAACTCTTCCTCCCTAATTCTAAGAACCTGTCCCCCCATGCCTCTAATAATACAAACGTAGCGTGCTCCGTCCATTCCGCCGGAGAATTCCGAGCAGTACTGGACGGTTTCGGAGCCACACGAGGGGCAAACTCGTAGTTAGAAACCAAATTATCCAATCTACGCTTCTTTTGGTGCCCAATTCGACCATCATCTTCTTCCTCTTCATCGTCCTCGTCTTGATCATCGGATTCGTGGTTTTCTTCATCGTCCTCTTCGTCTGCTCCATCATCTTCGTATTCAATGTTGTCATCCTCGTCGCGATAATTGTTGTTGTTGACTGGATAAGAAGGGTTTCGATTGGGATGTCTAGAGCGAATCGAAGAGTCGTAGGCTGAGTGGTGATTCACAGAGTAGCGTTGTGGTGGATACCTAGCATCGTCTTCAGTGTCATCCATCTGTATTGTTTGTTCGTTCAAGTACGCACCAAAATGAAATCAAGATTCAAGAGTGAAAACAAAGCAAAATCTAATTCTTTTGGTTCAAATCAACGAGTTTGGGACATAAATATCGAATCTTTTTGGGGTGCACTTCTAATAAATTGTATTGAAAAGCCCTAATTTTGCTGGTTTCTGCAGAATTGAGATCGAGTTTAAGGACTCAACGAAACCCTAAGTTTAGGTTTTAGAGATCGGTGAAGAGGAGAGAGAGAGAGAGAGAGAGAGAGAGACTAAGGACGAGTGATGTCAGTTGTTGGAGTTTCTCTGACCTGAGGATGCGGTTTGCGATTCACATGAACGGGCGTAGTTTAGTTTAATATTATATTAATTTATCCATTTATATATCTCTTTGGGCCAGGCCGACTACAATGTAGCAGAATTTTACCGACGTTGGATGAGCCCATATCCAACTTAAAAGGAAAGGCCTGGCCCATTCGCGAGCTTTGAGTGAATTTTCTTGGGAAAGCAAATTCTCTGGACCTAAGTCACGTAAAGCGAGAACAAGATAAATAGTGAATTTGAAAAATTGGAGTGCAAAAAGGATAAAATTTAAGTTACACGGAGCGAGAGCGTGCATGAAACATAAGAGAGAGCACTCGGAACATGATAGTGGCACACATTGAGAAGAATTGTGTAACTTAACTCAAGACAAATTAATAACTGTCATTTAATGGTTGTAACTCATTTCCTTGCCCGTGAAAATGAAAATGAATATAAAAATAAAAAGGCCTTTTATTCAGTAAGTTTAAGTGCAAAAAAATCCCCCTATACTATAGATATAGTTCAAAAAAGTCTTTGTATGGTATAAAACCCCCATTATACTATTAATTTAGTGCAAATACCCACTTTATTCGCATAAAAAGACCATAATACCATCTTTTCAGTAAAATAAAATAATATTAAAATAATAATGCAAGATAAATTTACCATTTTAGACTATTCCCAATACTCTCTCTCTCTACTATGGCGTGAACATACCACCATCTTTTGCTCTGCCTCTTCATCTTATTCAATATAATGGGTGGGCGCTTACCCATTTACCCAAAAACTTAATATGTTGGGCAGTGCTGCATACCCACTCATTTATACCTAACCATTCTCTCATTCAGATTCAATGTGAGACAAATCTCCCCTTGTAACATTCTCCCCCACCCGAACTCGCAACGCCCTCGTTGCGATCGGGCCACCCTACGTACTCGGGGTGGTGCACCCAAACACATCCGAGCCGGGCGCTTAGGGTGGCACTGAATCAAAGATTGGGTTTAGCTCTGTTACCAACTATAAAAGGTCGGTGCTTACCCATTTTTCCAAAACTTAAGTTGTTGGGTAGTGCCGCATACCCACCCATTTATACCCAATCGCTCTCCCATTTGGATCCGATGTGGGACAAATCTCCCCTTATAACATTCATCCTCCTCGCGATCTCCACCAACACTAGACCCGTCCGTCTCTTCTATCCATACAAAACCTGTGATACCCCTCGATTCTAGAGTCACAGGTGATCAAGTCCTAGCACAGATCCGAGGGATACCAAACAATTAAGTATGTAAATGAACACAGAATATAAAAGAATACTAAGAATAACTAAAATAGTAGAAAAGAAAACTAAATAATAAATTCCCCAAATGAATTATCTGTGATACCCCTCGGATCCGAGACACGGGTTGATCAGGCCCAGGCCCAAACCCGAGGGAATATCAAACAATTAATATTTTATAACGAACACGGAATACAAAATGAATTAAGAAATGAAAGTTTAAAGCTGAAAAGAAACTAAAAGATAATCCTTAAAATATTAAATACTTAAATTTGATAAACCAAATACCCATAATTTGAACAACTCGGGAATCCATCTCTAGTGGACCCCTAATAAAAATCTCACACTAAATGAAAGTAAAATGAAAGATAAAACCCAAATCCAAGATCTGGAAAGAAATCCTACATCGTCGGTAGAATGGAAGATCGTCTCTGCACAGCACGAACAAGCTCAAGCCTGGAACTGACGTACACCTGAAAAATAGGAGTGGGTCAGGCCCACGAACAAGTTCTATCCTACTACAATCCAAGCAGAGACTCGATACGCATGTACATACTAAATAGTTTAACAATAACTAATAGTCCGTACATAAATATATCCACACTACTGGACTCTCGCTAGGCCATGAAGGGGGTCTCAACCTGGATAGAAGGCATCACACAATACGCACCTAAGTGGGTATGAGTACCTAAACCTAAACAGGGTATACCTCAACCTTCACAGTTCTTCCTTTGTCTCCACAGTCGTATAGGTTTTGTTACTAAACCAACCCTCTCTGTTCTTCCTTTGTCTCCACAGTCGTATAGGTTTTGTTATGTTTCTCAAACCCTAACCAAACATCTAACATATATTTATAGGATTTTACTAAACCCTAAGCCCCAACTGAAAACCTAACCGGCCCATCCAACATACTGAGAAACCTACGAGGGCTTACAAACCGATTGCATAATTAATGTAAATAAATCAAATAAATTAATTAAACCCAAAGAAACCAAATAAACCAACCAATTACTTCAAAGAACACAAATAAGGCAAGGAAACCAAATAAATAAAAACCAATTAAAACATATGAAAACATAATTCAAAACAATTAATGAATAAAAACCAATTAAAACATATGAAAACATAATTCAAAACAATTAATGAATAAAAACCAATTAATGAACAGAAAACAATTAAACAAAATACCGAGACTATCCTTTTGAAAATTAGGGGTATTACATTATCTAAAACCTTTAATCCTCGTTATAACTCGGGAATCCATCTAGTGGACCCTTAATGATAATCCAACTGAATCAACTAAAAAAAATCATAATCAGAAACTAAAACATAAAGAGAGTCCTACGTATAATCGGAAGAATGATGTGGACTGTCTCTGCTCAGCACGAACACACTCTATGTCTGGAACTGACGAGCACCTGAAAAATATAATAGTGGGGTAGGTCCACGAACAAGTTCTTTCTACGACAACCCAACAGAGACCGGAGAAACTATATATCTATAGCTAACTCATGCAATACCTAAGTAATCCGTATATATATAGACACATACTAAAGGAACCTCACTAGACTATAAGGTTGTTTCAACCTGAATAATAGGCAACATGCAAACGCACATATAGTGGGCACGAATACCTAGACCTACTAGGAAAACAACTACACTATATATAGCTACACATCCCTAGCAATATACGCCCCCTAACCATGATCCTAAAACTCAAGCTCATATCATGGCACCATAATTAAATATATATAATCCATACTAAACTAATCCACTATGTATCATCCAACTTATTAGTTGACCTGACACAAATATAAGTAGGACTTAACATTTTAGTTAATCCGTTCCCTTATATAATAGGTAGGACTTAATTGATAAGTTAATTCATCCCTAGAGTGCCACCATCCCATGCTAGTGTACTAAATCCACACAATCCAACAATTGATGTAACAATTTGAGAATTACATCAAATAATCCAAAGTTAAACATAATAATATTATATCATACTAACACAAAATAGGAACAACTTATAATTTGTCTAAGCTTCCTATATCACATATCCTACACATACTGAATCTTAAACAGATTTATATTTTGCTATACAATCATTTAAGCATTCTCCATACCATTCATGCCATACCTTTAATCTTAATTGTATAAAACAAATTAAAAACTAAGTCCATTCATTCCACAAGAAATTTAAATAGCATGCACTGATATATTTGTTTAAAATTTATTTAAATCATTCCTAGTCTATATTTAGTGTTTAGGACTCTTCAAATCCAATATAAAAGTAAACAACGTTGTTTCTGAGACTTTACCAAGCAAGGCTCGAGCTTTTCCCCAATTGCTCGAGCACCCTGTCCAAGGCTCGAGCATCCTACTTCAGGCTCGAGCTTTTCCCCAATTGCTCGAGCTTTATAACCAATTGCTTGAGCTTTTGATCCCAAGGCTCGAGCTTTGCCCAGAAGGCTCAAGCACTGTAACAGCGGTCCGAACACTGTTACGCGAATCAACCCAGAATTTCACTGTGCATTCATTCTTTATTTGTTTCGGAATCTTAGGCATGTTTCTACATTCCATTAATATACAGATATGAAAAACATTATATACAACATGTAACAAAACATAATATAATCCAATCAAATAATAAATTTATCAATTTATACACAAGAACAACCATAAACAACTAATTTATAAAACCTAGTTCTAGATTCAATTTAAAACATGGATTCCAATTTTTAATAATTCTTTAAACATCCCTAAAGCTATACTAGAGATATATAGATTACAGACCTAAAAGAGAAGTGTAGAACAAAAAACTTACCTGTAGGATTTGATAAAACCCTAACCTCCTCCTTCTTCTTCCTCCTTCTTTCTCTTTCTCTCTCTAAACTATACGTGATATAATTCTACCCCATTTTTTCAACCCTATAGTTATATATTTATAGGCTATATATTCACCCTATTCCTTGTCCCAATCCACATCCAATTAATAAAGAAAAATAAAATTAAAAAGACTAAAAAGGTAACTAAAAAAAATTTAAGTTTAATCTATGTATATTATTTTTATCTAAATAAAATAAATACATTAGATTATTTTCAAAGGACTTTCCTTAAATATATATTATTGAATTATATATACACACACACATACACTATCCATGAGTATTTATCTGTCCCCATTAAACCTCTTATCCAAGTAGTCCATGGAGCCCAATTGGTTAGCTCATGACTACTATCCATAACGATTAAAAAATGAAATAAAACAAAATAAAATAAAATAACCATTTAAAACATTTAATTCCTAACATTATTTTCAAAGAAAATACCTAACATTTAAATAAGTAATTACACATCAAAACACCTAACATTTAAGCAAACAAAAACACATAACCAATTAATTCATCTAAACAATTAACAAATAGCCAAGAAATCAATTAATGAATTAAAACACAATTAAAATAATTAATAAAATACCGAGACTATCGGTTTAAAATTAGGAGTATTACAAAACCCTAATCTTCTTCACCACCACCACATCCTAATCCACCCCCTTTCATCAAAACCCTAATTTCCAATCCAACAGAATCAAGGTTGATTCCTCACCTTCTTCGTTACAGAGGTTAGAGAACTCAACCCCAAGCCCCATCTCATCTTCTACAACATCATCATTATCGATCGCGCCTCCACCTCCGCCGACACCGACGTTGACATCTAGAAAAGCTCTTTGTCGTTCAGATTTTACTCCTCCGTCGGATCTTTGTTCCGCGATCGCTCCAAGGACGTCCTCAGCGCCATCGGGGATCTGTTGTTCGGCGTTGGCTGTTGTGCTCTCATTGTCACAACCATGTACTTGTTTTGGTCCTTCTTCGCTCCCAATCATTTCAAGTTCCGTGATTCTGATGATAAGTTTGATGATGTTGACAATGACGATGACAATGTCAAGCCGAAGATGGGTTACACAGATCATAGGTCACTATAGATTGGAGCTCATCGAACTAAATATGTTGTTGTTAGGGGTAACTGAGATATTGAAGCTCTGGGTTCGCCGACCTGTGACATCATTGCTACTCTAGGCTTTTTCGGCTTGTTTCTGCTCAAAGCTTCACTGGAAATGGTCTCTTAAAGAGCTTCTATAGAAATCTCCGTTGATGAAGGGTCGCACTTCTCAATATTCCTCCGCCAACTCTTGCACATATTTGTACAAATCAACATGTGTGCGTGTGTGTGTGTGTGTATGTGTATAGATAAGAAGGAAAAGATGAAAGAAGAGGTGGTGGCTGTGGGTGGTAGAGGTGGTGGCAGCATAGTGCTATTTTTTAATATAATGTGAGAAGGGCAAAATGGGAAAGAAAAAGGGCAAAATTGGAATTTTTTATTTACTTTTTTAAAATCAGGGGATATTTGCACCTTTTTTAAAACATAGGGGGTGTTTTGCACATTTCTTAAAAAAATAAGGACTAATAGCAGGCACATTTAAAATGAGAGTCATTGTTAACCAAACCTACAGTGTAAGAAGTTTTCTTTCTTTACCCTGTCCATATTGATGGAACTGAATGTACTGGAATTTTAGTCGATTATTATAATTTAATTGTTAAATCACACTTATCTCCTTATCCTCTAAAAAAAAAAAAAAAAAAAAAAAAAAAAAATCATCTCTCTTTAACATTCTCTAGATAGTATGGGGAGCGCGAAAGAAGTTCTATTGAAACATCATACTATAGTATGGCATGGCATTTAACAATATGATGCAAGCTGACAATGTGCAGGATTTGCTTTAGTGGAATTTAAGTCCACTAACAATATTGGAAAAAATTACTGTATTGATTTTTTTCTTACTTTTTCCTTTTTAATATCCGAGAAATCTTTCCATTCCATTTCTAACAATTGATGAGACTGCGTGTGAGGATTAACTATGGAATGTGAGGTGCATCTTTCAATCCATGTGTGTGAGCATTCCGTTACAAAATTTTGATATTCAATCTATTTCCACGTTATAGGATCAATGAAATGAATTGGGATCAAAATCTGATTTATGATATAATTAGAGGCCATCTTAGAAGAGAGTGGTTTTCAGAATTGAAGGGAGAGAAATTGGATTTTGAAACAAATACATGTACTTTTGGAAAACAACTTATAAATACATGGAGTCAAAGACATGACATATTTAAAAATTATATTTTTCTTAAAGAATGATATGGACATATAAATAAATAACATTACTCATTTTATTCATGTGCCCAAACTATACTTACTATTTTTATTCGGATACTACTTTTATGCATGTATATGTTCAGCCCTTTTTACCGGTACTATTTTTTGTGCAAACATGTTTTTATAGTTTTTTGCAGTCCATTTTGACAACCAATGATCCAATTGTAGTTTATTTTTAGATCCCCAGACATTTATGCCCAAAAACTGGCATATGCGTGGACAAAAAATGATATCTACATGCATAAAAACGATACTTGAATGAAAATAATAGAGGTAGTTTGGGCATATGAATAAAATGAATATATATATATGTGTGTGTGTGTGTGTGTGAAAAGTCAAAATTTTGACATGTATTTTTGCAAGATGTGTTCCAAAAGTCCATATATTTGTAATTTTTTCAAATGGATTTTTGTAAGTATTGAAGAATGAAGAGAGGGAGAGGGAGTGAGAGAGGGTCTTAATGAATAATGAATGAAGTGGAGAGAAACCTGTGATTGCCGCCTCAACCGTGTTGTTAAGGACAGTCGACCCGTGCTTAACATTCTCTGGAAGTCTTTGTATAATACATTCCTCTCTCTGTCCAACCAACTACTTCCTCCCCCATCTACCTCTTCCATCCTTTTCATTTACCAAACGAATCGGCCTTAATTGTATATATACACAAGAAAATACAACTAGGGAATAGCCAATTGTGTGTGTGTATATATAGCTTGGATTTTTAATATGCTATATAAAGTAGTATGTACTTCAGCCTTATATATATTCATCTGGTTTAATAATATTTCCCCAGTGAATGCATGAAAGCAAATGATATGCAACCCTATACTTGAAATGAATTAATAAGAGATTTATTGTCATGCCTCATATATATATTGGATATATATTGCCTACTAGTGTGAGAGAGAGAGATTCCGAGGGCCATGAATGCAAATGTGGAGCAATCACGTAGATTCATGCGTGGTCGAGCTGGAAGGCTACTAGTTATAAATTGATAGCGTGAAAGCAATTAAAAACCTTCCCAAGTTCCAACTATATCTGTTTTTCCATCTATAAATATTAAAGGGCAGAAGAAATTAAGCCATTGACTAGTGGATTAATAGAACCTCTTCTATATAAAGCCAATAATTAAGCCATCTCATTTCACCAGCTCTAGGTGTTGCACATATTGCATGTGTGTACGTAAAATAGTAGTAATGGGGTACTACTCTGTCTCTGATATGATTAGGAAGGGCCTTTTGGTGGTGTTATGGGGTTTTTGGGTGGTGGGCTGTATTGAGGGTAGGGAGTTGGAAGAGAAAAATGGTGGGAGAGTAGTGATGAAGAAACCAGAGTGGTTCTTTGATGGTGGTGGTGATGGTGGAGGATTAGGTGGAGGTGTTGGTGAGTGGAACAAAGGGTTTCATTTTGGGCATTCATTTAGCTTTGGTAAGGGGGGTGGATTTAGTTTTGGTTATGGCAATCCTGATATTGGCAATGGACAACCAGATTGTATTGGAAAAGGTGGAAAAGGTGAAGGAGGTGGAATTGGCGGTGGTGCTGGTGGTGGAGGTGGCATTGGAGGAGGTGGTGGTAGCAGCGGAAAGCACCACAAGAAAAAGGAGAAAAAACATCATCATGGTGGTGGTGGTGCTGCTGGGGGTGGCATTGGCAAAGGAATTGGAGGTGGTGGTGGTACTGGAGGTGGCAGTGGCAAGGGAATTGGAGGAGGAGGTGGTATTGGTGGTGGCGGTGGAGCTGGAGGTGGTGGTGGACCTGGAGGTGGCATTGGCAAGGGAATTGGAGGAGGTGGAGGTATTGGTGGTGGTGGCGGTGGAGCTGGAGGTGGTATCGGCAAAGGAATCGGAGGAGGTGCCGGGGGTGGAGGTGGAGCTGGGGGCAGAGGTATTCGAGGTGGGGGTGGTGCTGGGGGAGGTGTTGGTGGTGGAATAGGTGGGGGGAGTGGTGCAGGAGGAGGTGTTGGTGGCGGAGGGATAGGTGGTGGAGGTGGGGGTGGAGGAGGTGTTGGTGGTGGGATAGGCGGTGGGGGTGGTGCTGGAGGAGGTGTTGGTGGTGGGATAGGCGGTGGGGGTGGTGCAGGAGGAGGTGTTGGTGGTGGTGGCGGAGGAATTGGTGGTGGGGGTGGTGCTGGAGGGGGAATAGGTGGTGGTGCTGGAGGAGGTTTTGGTGGGGGAGTAGGTGGTGGTGGCGGTGGTGCAGGTGGAGGATTTGGAGGTGGTGTTGGAAAAGGAATTGGTGGAGGAGTTGGTGGTGGAGCTGGTGGGGGGTTTGGGGGAGGCATAGGCAAAGGAATTGGTGGTGGTGGAGGGTTTGGAGGTGGTGGGGGTGGGGGTGGTGGTGGTGGTGGTGGTGGTGGAGGGTTTGGAGGAGGTGGTGGTATTGGTGGTGGTGATGGTGGGGCTGGGGGTGGAATAGGTGGTGGTGGAGGGCCTGGAAAGTGAGGAAGCAGTGCTTGCACAACTGGTGTCTGGTCAAATAATGAGGGGAAGAAACTCTGAAGCAATGCAATATTTGGTACTGAGGCTTGTCTTAGCCCTGTAGTAATTTGTATGCCAAATTAATTAACCTCTTCAACATTTACATTTAACCCTGTCTGTTCTTAATAACTTTTATGGTACTTATCAACTTCCTTCTTGCTAAAAGCAAGGATTCTTATAATGTGATCCTTGAGTACTATCAAACAGTAATTCTTGTTGAATTAATTAAGTGTTGACCAATGTATTTGCAATTTTTTACAGGATTCCAATGACAATAAAAGTATATTTAACCACTTGATTGCATAAAAAACATAGATTTTTGTCTGTGATAAGCCGGAATCTAAACTCATATATATTATGGCCTCAGAAGTCGATTTTGCGATAAACCTTCTTTCACACTTGGAGTATAGCTTATAATAATAATCTCTATTATTTTTGAGTAAGTGCAGTTCTTGAGCTTTCTATTTTACAAAACTCATTGTAACACAGTCAAAACTATAGGGTGACACATACAGGTTGCGATGAACTTCTAAGTTCATTCTAATATCTTCTCATGCCTAATTAATTAAGTCTTCCAAGAAGATGATATGTCAGCAATGGCTTCCCCAACTGTCAGATAAAGTCCGTTAGAGTTAAATAAATCAATAACTTTTGAGCTGTGGAGCTTCTCCATGACATCTCCAACAGGATTAACCAAGACTAGCTGCACCAAGAAAAGTTACGATTGTTGCTTTTTCTAGAAATTAAGTACCCCATGGAGAGAAAAATTTGCAGAGCAGAAAGGGGTCAATGGACTCGTCTCCTTACCTGGAGTGATCTCTTGTCTAGTGTCTTGTTTAGTTCATATATAGAGTCGATGCCACTGGTGTCTATGGCTGTCACAGCTGATGAATATTTGTAGCAAACAAAATGTGTTAATTAGGCTTAATTACTCAACACAGTTATAAGTTAAATTTAGATGCAGTAGAAAAACATGTGAGAGGTTCGCAATTAGTAAATATTCAATCTTTTCTTTGAATATATGGAATGCCAATAAATAACAATATCAAATATTTAGAATACTTGCAAAACTCACCTGTCAAATCCAAAATTATGCATCTCAGGGTACACTCATTATTTGCTTGAATCCTCTCTTCCTCTTCCCTTACCCATCTTAATACTCTGCAAAAGCTTCTCAATTCAATTATCAGCATTTAATAGAGAAGATATGCTCCTAAAGAAATCAGTGCAAACGAGATGATTGAACCATTGACAGCAGATTATATAGATCATTAGAACCAGTGCCTCAGGTGTTGAAAAACTCTGCTGACCTTTCTTGAAGGTACGTCGAATTTGCAAAATAGATGGGAGATTCAATGCCAAGGATGATGAAGTATGGAACCCTTTTAGCATCCTCGTAACGACTAAGACTTTGGTACAGTTGAGTGCCTGGAATATTCCCCAACAAATTGGTGTTTGGCCTTGTAACATGCAGCAGGATCTTAAATATTGAGACCCCAATCTGTAATTCCAGCAATAGGTACCAGATTCAAGCCAGATAATAAAACCATCCAAATGTAGAATGCATCAAAACATTTATATATTTAAACTTCATTTACACATTTCATTTCTTATTTATTTTCTTTACAGGACTATAGAAATTTAAATAAAGAAACAGTTGTCAAAGACAAAAATTATTTATGGTTCCTATGAGCTTCAAGAATTTGAGTGGAACAAAGAATAATGAAGTTCAAATATTTGTCAATTTCATGTATCTAGATTTAATAAAATGGAAGATTAAAAGAAACAAGAAAATGGTAGAAAAAATTACAGCAATAGCTAGGCCCATCTGCACTGAGACGAATAGAACTCCAAAAAAAGAGCATAAGCAAGCCAAGAAATCAAGCTTATCAATCTTCCACAACTGAAACGCAGCATTGTAGTCAATCAAACCAATGACAGCCGTTATAATGATTGTGGCCAAAACAACGTTGGGAGTATGATAGAACAATGGCATGAGAAACAAAAGAGTAACAAGCACTGAAGCTGCCAGTACTATGTTTGAAAAGGCTGTCTTTGCTCCGGCATTGTAGTTTACAGCAGATCGAGAGAATGATCCTATAAGTTCATTACATTGCCAAGGTTGTGGTTAATTTTATGGAGTCAAACGACGTGACAAGAAGTATTGTTATGTAGAAAAAATTTACGTAGAAAACAAATACCTGTAGTAACATAGCATGAGGAGAAAGAACCAGCAATGTTCATGACACCTATTGCCATCATCTCTTTGTTACCATCAACTTGATAATTTTGCAGAGAAGCAAATGTTCTTCCCACTGCAATTCCTTCCTATCAAAGAAGGAATCGTGAGTGTAAAAGTGCAATGCAAGCCAAATTCTGCTGTTATAATTAGTAATTAATCCCAGCAAAATATCAAAGAATATCACTTTTTCGATGGGGTTTTTGTTAGAAAGGTCTCAATACAAGACAAATGTAATGTAATACTAGTGTAGTACTTACAGTGAGGGACAAGATCCCAGTTACAATGCCTGTTTTGATGCTTAGGCCAAAATGAGAACCATGAAAAAATAACATGTTTATTGAAGATGGGTTCAGACCCTTTGGCAATCGGCCAATCTGTATAGTGACAACCAATCAGAATTAAATGAAAAGTTCATACTTCAATAATGCCCCCAATAAACAGAGGAAACAGGAAATTAAATTTGGAAATTTGTGATGCTATGAGCATTGCTAACATTCATTCTCTTTTTGCAATATTCTTGGCATTTGAATGGATCATAAGCAGGACATTATTTCAAAGGAGAAAAAAAGAAGAAGAAGATGATGATAACAGGAAGGCTAAAAGGGGTAATTATTCTTACTGTAGAAATGGCATGTAATTTGGATCGGAAGAGAAACGCCACAAGAGTTGACAGGATGACAGAAGTCAATGGAGCAGCAGCTGAAATCCAGAATAGCTTTGGCTTCTTCAAGCTCTAAAAGTCCATGAGAAAAATATTGCAAATTTTTTTTATATAATTTTATCAAATAACTAAAATTCAAATTAGTTGATTCAATTAGTGAAATCACATTACTCACCATTTGCCTTGCTGTGAGTAGAAATATTAGGAAACTGAAGCCCATCACTATGGTTTGCCAGGACCACTGCACATTCAAAGCAGACAATTGCACTATCATATCTTTGTACATATGCACTTGAAAATATGTATTTATGTAGAATAAACCTGGTTGATTTTGCTAAATTTATGTAACTAGTTTTGTTGATTTTTTTTTTCCTGACCTCTTTTCTGTGTTGGAAAACAGAGGACATAACGGGAATTATCTGCATCTTGCTAGTGAAGTGAACAATCCCAAGCAAACCTTTAAGCTGCTGCAGGGACACGATGATAGCTGCTCCAGCCATGAATCCAATTAGAGTGGCCTTGGAAAGAAAATCGATAATGAAGCCTAGCCTGAAACAATCCTACTAAAAAATAAGTGATGAGGAGAAAAGGGACTAATACTGGGAATCACTTGTACTATAAGTGTATTAATCAAACTTTTAATGAGACTCCATAATTGGGATTTTAATTTAAGCCCTCACTTATGCTTTAGAATCTCAATTTTTCTAAGTTTAGATTTGTTCTGCATGCATTGAGTCCTTGAAATATTTCAGATACTTCAAATTTTCTTCTTTTCTAAGCAATACATTTCAAAAGCTCACTTATGCTAAAGGTGCACATACATACATACATACATATATATATATATATATATATATATATATATCCCATTAGATTTTGACTTTAACATTGTGCTTTCATGCTCATTTTGCTTTCTAGGAAATTCCTTAATAATTTGAAGAATTTAATAAAAAATAGAATCAGATTAAATTTTGTCTTTTAATCAAAAGTATTCCTGATTAAGGTAAGAGACTATAATTGATGTTTCAGAACGTGGTCCAGAATTGTTAATTTTAGTTAAAAGTATAAAAATCATAACAAATTTGAAACACTGCTCATACCTAAATAGACCCAAAGAAGCTTGAAATAAACCTGCAAAGAAGGTTGCAGTGAAAGCAAGTTTAAGATAGAGGTCTGGTTCATCCTTAGGAGATACCGATTCGCTTAGCATTGTGCCCATCACTAGAGATGCTATTGACACTGGACCAACACCTAGATGTCTAGAACTCCCAAGTGCAGAATATATTAATGGTGGCACAAAACTTGAATCTGCAAATGTTTAATACACACATGTAAAATGTCTATAAATGAAAAAAAAACACACATAATATTGTACTTGTTAATTAATCTCAACAATATTGGAGCAATTCAAATCGAACTCACAAAGTCCAATTATCGGGGGCAGATCTGCAAGCTTTGCATAACTAATACCCTGCGGTTAAAAAATAAATATAAATAAATTAAATTAATTGTAATACTAAACCAAAAGCAATTTCCAATTGTTATTCATATTGAAGCAAATAGAATAAATTTGGAACCAAAAGAAACATGCAAATGATATTTTGATTAAATTTTGCACATGAGAAGAACAAGGGCGACGAAAAAGCCAAATTTTGTTAAATAGATAATTTTTTTTATAAAAAAAATCAAATTTGTAACAAATTTAACCTAAATAAGCAAAAATGTTAAATAAAAAAACAAACAAATGCATGGTGTTTGTCAAACCAAACTCATGATAAGAAGCCTACTTTACTCAAACTTCAATGCCAGACAAACCCCATTTCCCCAAGGGAAAGGGTAAAGGAAAAGAGAGAGGAAAAAGGAAATGGTTTGGGGTGAGTACCTGTGGAATGGCGAGGCTTGCAATGGTGAGTCCAGAGATGAGATCAGATCTGAAGAGTATGAAATTATAATGAGGCACCCATTGAAAAATAGGGAATATATACTGAATACCCAGAACCCATTTTCTCAACAAAGTCTGGTTCTTGAATCTGTAGAAAGGATCATCTGGGAAGAAAATCTCAGAGAGTCTGTGTCTGAATTTCTGGAAAAGGCTTCTGTTTGGCGGTAAATTCACCTTGTGTATCTCTAAAGGTGGCGATGTTGTCTCTGTTGGGATGTTGATAGGAATCCCGTCACCTGAAGTGTTTGAATTTGGACCCATTTTTTTTGGGAAATCAACCAACAAGTTGCTTTTGTTGATAAGACCATAAAACTTGGTTTCAAATTAAATTTATAGAGAAAGGAAAAAGACTTGGTTCAAAATTGAGAGAGAAGAGAAAGAGATGGTAGTTATCAACAGTTGTTGCTCTAGAGACATACTTCCACGCTGTGGAGTACTGTTACGCGCTTGTGGAAGCGCATGCAAAACACGCTCTAACTACCTCATACATGATATAACAGAGGTGGCATGACCTTACAAATCATCAAGATAAAATGGTAATTGTGAAACGAAATTGTATTGACCAATAAAAGAAAATTTGTATTTATTTAATAATTAATACCAAAACGAATTATAATTAATGCATTTAAAGATCAATTTATGACTCCTCTTATCCCTTTGGAGCCTTAGACAGCCTTAATTGCCTCAATTTTAAAGCCGTTGTTTTTTATAAAGAGCAGAGATGCTCGCAAGGCGCAGACTTAGTGGTCAACAATGGTTACTCCTTCAGTGAGTCACATTTTTTATATCGTAACGTTTTAAAACGTCACGCAATTAATGCATTAAATTATTAAGATGTTTTTTTAAAGAGTTAAGTACAAAAAAAATAAAAAAAAAAATTGTTCACATAAAAATATATTAATATCCTCTCTAATATAAATTTTTGGGTTAAGTGTAAAAAACTCCATGATATATAAGGTTTGTGCAGAAATAATCCTTACTTTTTGAAAATGTGCATTTCAGTTCATAAAATTTAAAAAATGTGCAAATAAACCATTCTGACCACTTTTTTGTCCAAATTGTTATAAACTAAAGGGTCGCGTGTGGATTACACTCCTGTGGTATCGATATAGTACGTATAATTGTAATATCCCTAATTTTAAAAGGATATTTCTGGAATTTAATTTATTATTTAATTGCATTTTTTGTGATTATTTGCTTAAATTGTTTTCTATAATCAATTGTTAATTGTTTTATTGTTATTTATTTATTTAATTAGAATTGTTTGTTTAAGTGGTTGATTGTGTGTTCAGTGTAGTTAATTATTTAATTGAATGTATTTAATGAAGTTTAATTATTTTTCTGTAACTTAAATGTGACTGTAATTGCTGTTGCTCACATATAGTTTTACATTAGGTTTAAACTTTATATGGGTAGCCGACATTGTTTATAACACAGGATGGTTTATAGGCCGAGTTGGGCTCTGTCTCTAATCTTATAAGGATTAGGGTTTTAGGGATTAAAGCTTATAAATATACCATGACAATAAGTCTAGGGTTTACGATCATAACACTTAGCTTATAGACGTAAACTGAGATCTATTAAAACAGAGAGATGCAGAGTAAGGTTTTGAGAGAACAGAGCACGTTGGGTGTGGGATTCGACTGAAGTTTCAAGGTCGAACCTAGGAGAAGGGAAGAGCAGAAGTAAGAGGAGGCTTGACAGTAGTTCAGTGTTGCCGGAACAGTCGACACGACGCCGAGATTTCATAACTGAAATCACAGGCAGGTTCTTTTCTTCCTCCTTCCCTCTGGCTTGTGTTCTGTGCACCTAGATAGTCTCTAAGGTTTAATTAATGAATAACTGAGTTTACATGTATATTATATGCCATATTGATGATATATATGTGTTTTAATCTGTTAAATTACAATTCGTGCATGTCTATTTTCAGTGGTGTTCTTAAAGCATGCTTAGTCTGTATAACTGGTAGTTTTTGTATTTATTTTCAACTGCTGTAAACACATCGTGGGGATTATACTGGACACAGTTAGAACCCTTAGGAACAGTTTAAAACCAAATAGACAGGTTGGGAGCGACCGGAGACGAAGCAGAAGGTCGCAAAAGTTGCAGCGGTTGAAGACGGCTCTCAGAGGAGGTGAGAGCCGGCTCCCACACATGTAGAGTCGGCTCCAAGGTTAGTGGAACCGGGTCCAGGCTGATTGAAACCTGCTCCCAAAGTTTTAGAGCAAGCTCTACCCCAAAATTGCTTCCTGATATTGTTTTTGACGCACTGTTTTGAATTGTGAGAGGATTGAACTGTTCTGAAAATTTTGGGACTTCACAGAGGGATTAAATGGTTTATTTTGGATGTTATTAAGACCTTAGATTGATCAAAGTTAGCCTCTGAGTCAGTGGGACAAACAATATTAAATTAGTAAATTTTCTATACTGTTCAAGGATGAAAGACGGATTAATTGCATAACTAAATTTTAGCAATTTAATGGGATTTAGGATGTTTATCAAACTTATTTTTAATGCATGATAGGGTCATCTATGTATTTGTTTTGATCTATACATGTTTTGGAATGCTAATTGTCGAAATATCAAACCTTTTCTGCAATTACCTGGATTACTTTTGGATTGCAATTGCTAGAATAATGAAACGTTTTCTGCAACTAATTGGATAATGGTTTGGACTGTAAATTACTAAATTATGAATTATATATTGTAATTTACATGGATATGGAGGATTGTATGCACCGGTATGAGACGGTGGCATACTAGGGACGGTTTAACTTCAGAGCGCTAAAACCTAACCTATCGAATTAACGAAATGGATTGTAAACTATTGAATCCTAAATTGTGTTTAAGTCAAATCAACTAACCTAAGTTGAGTGACTTCCTGGATTAGTTGGTTACAGTTAAGTCATATCAGCTACATAAGTTGAATAACTAACTAAACTATGTTTTGTATGTCACCTCAATGAATAATTGAATGATATATTCTGGATTCGGACGGACTTTAGATATATGGTTATGGTACCACGAGATGAGCTTGAGTCTCAGGCTCGTTGGTTAGGGTGTGTATATGCAGTGGATGCGTAACTGGATATAGTAGGTTGAGGTGTACCCTGTTAGGTTTAGGTACTCATGCCCACCTTTGGGTGCGTTTTCGCATGTTGCCTTCTATTCAGGTTGAGACCCCTATTATAGTCCAATGAATGTCCCTTAGTGTGATACCCCCTAATTTCGGAACACGGGTTGATCAAGTCCGCGCACAAAATTAGGGAATATCAAACCAATTATAGTATTTAAACAAGCACGGATTACAAAATGAAATAAAGAATAAAAGAAAACGCTGAAAGAATCCAATTAATAGTAAATCCATTAATTACTTCCAAATGGTTACAACTCGGGAATCCCGTAACTCAAGGACCCCTTAACCAAAAGTTACTATTTAGAATTTCAACAAAAAAAATACTAATATCAACTGAAACAAAACTAATATCCTACTTTTAAATAAATAGAAGGAATGGATAAGTCCTCCAGCCGCGGATCCTCAACCTTGAGACTTGACCTTCTAACAACCTGAAAAATAAATCGCGGGTTAAACCCTACGAGCAAGTTCCCTCTACCAAGCCTCTGAAAACCAATAAACAGATCATCTTTACCAAAACCATCCCTAATTAAGCTTTAACTTTAATATATGATGCTACAAATATATATAAATACTTATATATATAGTACAAGAATTCTATCTGTTAATAGGGCATTAAATTGTCAAAACCACCCACCAATAATTAATTATCAGTCATACCTAGACCAAGCCCCCTTTTTATAATTTTCTCATAAAGTAAACCCCACTCACCTTAACTCCATCCTAAACAGTAATTTAGTCATCTAAACATATAGCAATTTAAATATGCACCGGCAAATCAACCATGCCATTTATAAATATATTTATTTATATACTAGCAATTCAACCATGCTTCCTTCAATATATTTACTTTTACAATTAATTAGCAATTTAACCATACTTTCCATATATGAAATTTATTCATAACCAATAAGGCAGTATATCAAAGCCTTTGGCAACTCATCCATGCCTACAATTCAACCATGTACTAACTTTAAACTTAACTCTAAGTATAATTATACATAGACTTCACATGCATATGATAAGCATGTCCTTAATTTAATAACCGTGTATCTATTACGATTTTAAATCAACCATACCATACACGAATCAAGTCATACCAAACAAGATTTATAATATTTAATAATCTTAAATAATATATATATACACATATATTTTATACTATATATATATATATGTGTATCATACATTCCATACCAATCGTTGACTATTTAAAATCATATCTACATATATATATACATATATACACCTCCTTTCATTGCAAAAATATTTAATTAATTGTAGTTATACCACTAAATGCTACCAAGTATCTTAGTAACACTCTGAGGCTCTCAGAACATCAAGAACACACCCTCTAATGATTAATTGTAACCCTAACAAGCTTAAGATACATACTGGAACTTCACCGGAGTCTCAAGCAACTTTCCAGGACCTCACACGCATCCCCACGCGCCTCCACGCGCCGCCACATACCCCTAAACTACTCCCATGCGCCTCCAAGCGCTTCCCCTTACCGGCAGACGCGTCCACGCGCCTGCACGCGCCCTCACACGCCTGAGCCACTCTCGGCGCGTGTTGGCAGCTCCTAATTGGTTGTTGTTTGGTGCTCTTGGTAAGCCGCGATGCACTGGATCCTCTCCCTTAATCAACTACATCTAACCATTGATGCCGCATGTGTATCAACTTACAACGGACCGCATCACACCAGATCAATCCAACTAAATTAAATTAATCCTATGGCCTAGATCAACAAGTGCACCCTTTTCCTACGTACGCGACCACACTGGATAAAAATCCTATTGATGCGCAAATACTAGCCGCCTCCAGTGTGTTTGTTAAACAATTTAACATATATATATATATATATATATATATATATATATATATATATATATATAAAACAATTTCTAAATTAACATTAAAAATATAAATTAATTTCAGAAAATTTAAAAAAAAAACTTAGAAAATTCCAAAAGCTTTATTTATTATTTTGGGCATAAATGAACATATACAATTTAATTAAAATCCATTTAATTTAATTAATCGTGCTACACAAGGTTAACGCAAAATATAAAAATTTTAGAAAAATAAAATTTAATTAACCTAACCTCACATAAAAGATCTAAATTATCAGAACGATGCATACATATATTCACATGTTTAATTCTATAATTTTGTAAAGAATAAATATGCTCCTCCAATCTGAATA